GCATTGCCAGGGAAATCCATAAGAGCTCGTGATCACGGCAATCTATATCGTCGTGGTGGGTAATGGATAGTTCACTCCTAGCCCACACTGCCACACCGCCACCATGGGCATCTCGATCCTTCCTTATAGGGGGTGAGTATCCTGGGATGGTCAACTCATGGGAGGAATTATCTGAGCAGAGCTTCGTTTCTGTTACTATTGCCACGTCTACATTATACTGCAGGATTGTATGCTGCAGGGCACCTATCTTGTTGCTCAGGCTGAATGCATTAGTCACTAGCAGTCGCAGAGGTCTGGAATCCATCATTGGGCATGGGAGGACTGGGCATCCTGCTGGGGTGGCTGCGCATCATGCTGGTCATGTTGTGGCGCAGATCCGTTTGATCTCTTCAGGTCTCCAGCCTCTGGTGGGGAAAGGTGGGAGTTTCTCCGTTTTTGGCCACTGTGTAGTGGAGTGGAGATGAAGTCTGCCGGTGGTGGTGGCGGCGGTGGTGGTGGCGGCGGGGAGGAGGAGGACGTTGAACCCGGCTGCTGTTGTTGCTGTTTAGTCAGAACACTGGCAGAGGTGCTGTTTCTGCTGCTGTGCTGCGACTGCTGGTGCTGCCCTCAGAGCTGGTTTCTAAGAACCTCCATGGCCTGCAGTACACGGGCCTTGGCCAGAAGTTGGGCGCTGTCACTGTGGAGAGTGAAGTGGCATCGATGGTCACTCTTGCGGAAGCACGCCCACTTTCTGACAGGCATATACTGCAGGTGTGGACAGGAATGGAGGCGCCCAGAAACTCACTCCTGGTTTTGATAAATTGCCTGAAGTGGCTCTCAGTGCTATCTGTGGCGATATTGCCCACATACACCACACGTTTATACGACTCCCTGGCTTGAACTGCCTCACCTAGTCTTTTACTACAATTGTAGTTGTAGTACTGTAGCGGACATGGAAAACCGGGGACAGCGCCCTCAGCGCGTACAGAATCTAGAACGCTGCGTGCAGTGCTCATGTTGGTCCGATGTCCAGCGCATTGCGGCGCACAAATGCATGTGTGTACCGCTTATCCTCGGCTGCATGGCCAGCGCTCTGGGGCCGCTAGACGTGCGACCGGATTTCCATGTCCACGACAGTAGATCTACCACGAGTACTCGTACTACTGCCGTGGACATGGAAATCCGGTCCCACGTCTAGCGGCCCCAGGGCGCTGGCCATGCAGGCGTAGCACGTTTTATTATGCGCTGCTATTGTCAGACTATTGTGCTATGCTGCAGACTGCAGTGCTGGTCGCATCGGATCAACATGACTGACTGTGCACTGAACGCCTTACGACGTTCTGTACGCGCTGAGGGCGCCGGCCCAGGTCAATCGACTGGATTTCCATGTCCGCGACTGTAGTAGGCTTTACCTTGTTGATCATCCGGATCTGATCACGGATCTGATTTGGCTGACTTGTCATCACTTCCCGTGGCCTTGGGAGAAGAAAATCTCGCCCCACAGAGTCAGTGCAGTGAAGCTGTGAAAGCTTCCCAGATCACTGTTCAGAAAGAGAAGGCGTTCGGGAGGTTCGTAACGGCACGAGTGTTGTCAGTTCAGCTAGTGTTTGTTTGCAGTCATGGCGAGGGTACTTGTTGCCCTGTTACTGCTGCTGTTAGCTGCAGTGGTGTTGGGAGTTCAGCAGCCGGCGGTCAGTCGCAATCCGTACCCGTACGTGATCGCCAACCCGCTTCCCAACGCTCCACCAATGAAACACCGCGGCGAGTACTTCGATGTTCTTTCTGAGCCCATTACGACGCAATACTCGCAAGTTTACTGGACAAAACAAGACCCAGTGCCTTTGCCGGAAGACTTCGTGCAGCGATACAAGGGCAAGGTCGCATCCATCATTGGTGTGGAGGCCGATGTGGTCAGAGCAAAAGCCGACGGTACCTACGAATCGGTCCCGTGTTACGAACAGTACAACCATCATTACGCAGCTTATCTGCAAGGTGTCAATAGTGCCTTGGCTTACGTGGGCAAGCGAACCTACCTCGAAGACTACCGCGTCTCTCCAGCTCATCGCCATTCACCGCTCTACCAGCCCCGATCTCTACCTTCCGACCCAACTCCGGACTCACTTGTCCCCACCGCCCAGCTCTTCGTTGAGGGAAATGGAAACGAACATCGTCGATCATTCAAATACTTGGCCAAGGGCTTCACGCAGCTGATCGAATCGCCAAATGTGTTCGTCCTCCAACCCATGATGATCAACACGAAGAATCCAAACGGCCCAGGTCGTGGGGGCCCTCTACCGCGCACTTCCATGGCACCACCAGGCGCCAACTACAGCGGTCTAATGGAGTGCCCGTGCACCACGCGAACAGAGAAGGTCTTCACCAGCCACGAGATTCAAATCACGGGCACCTGTTCGGATCCAGTGTCCACACCTGATGAGTGCTTCACTGCAGCCAAAGCACTGGGTTTGGCACCGGCTATGAGCGCTCACACAATCAACAACGGCACAAGTCCCAGCGGCTGTTTCGTCCTAGCTGGCCCCAGGGGCTATGATGTGTTCTTCAACGCATTCAGCAACTCCACAATGCTATGCGGCGATAACAGCGGAGAGGCAGTGCGTGCTGTTGGATCGCAGTCAGCAGAAGTTGATCTACATGTTGACCTGGATGGCAAGGCGGACAAAGCTACCATCACCATTACAGGCCCGAGTGTTGGCTGGTTTGGTGTTGGCTTCGGTGCCACAGCCATGAAGGATGCGCCGTACGCAATCATCGTCAACGGAGACGGAACCGTTGAGGAGAGAAAGCTAGCAAATCATGACCCTGGCCGTGTCCTCAGCCCACCTTCCATCACCATAGTTTCCAACACAGTGGTCGATGGTAAGAGAACTGTGGAACTAACTCGCACACTCAAGGGGGCTATGGCAGATCATTACACGTTCAACCCCAAGGTGACTGGCTTCAGCTTCATCAGTGCAAGGAACAATGCCACCAAGACAATCTCCTTCCACGGTGATAACCGCGAGGGCAGTGCTCTGCTTTTAGTGGAGCTTGGTGCCCCGTCGTGTGTGTGCCGTGGAAAGGTCGCCGGCAGCATCAACGGCCTTCCATTTACCAGTGATTGCATGTCAGAGCCAGAGACTGATGTTGCCGCACAGAAGAACCCAAGCTGCAGCATCGAGACCTACAATGGTGGACTATTCTGCTGCCATCATGGTGTGAGACTGCTCGACGCTGACCAAGATGTGCCTCCAGCCACCGACACATTCCACATGATGTTCCGCTTCTTCTATGAAGATCCGGAACCAGAAGAGAAAAACGCTTTCTTTGTCTTCCACGAGGTTGAAGCCAACCATGGAGAGTACGATGTTCCGAAGTGCTTGAATGGAACATCCTCAGAAGACTGTGTGTACACAATCACTGGACGCTGGCAGGTGAAGGACATGATCCGCAAGTGCAGGGACCGCGCCGATCCGTGGTGCGCACCGAGCTCGCCGACATTCCCGCAGTCGCAGAAGATTGCCATGGTTCATGCCAGTGGCCATTGCCACGGGCCTGCATGCATGAGCATGGAGCTCTACAATGCAGACACCGGTGAGCTGATCTGTGCTGTCAAGCCGATCCTCGGTGAAGGCGATGAGCCGATGAACGAAGCCGGCTACGTGGTCGGAATTCCGCCGTGCTCTTGGGGTAGTGCAGAGGAGGGCATGGCCGAGCCACCCGTTCTCGACCTCAACACCAACCTGATGTCGGTGAAGAAGTCCAACTCGACCAACTACCACTATGGCGTCATGTCCCACTGGCAGATGCGCGCTGTCTGGGCCTAAGCTGACCTGAATGAGCTGATCCAGTATGATGTAACAAACATTCAATCGGGCAGTTTTTCGTCCTAGTTTCCTTCATAGTCTATGCACCAGTCTTTTTTTGTGAATCGAGTGTTATTTTATTGTATAATTGATGAGTTTCCTTCATAGTCTATGCACCAGTCTTTTTTTGTGAATCGAGTGTTATTTTATTGTATAATTGATGATTTTTGTATCTGCACACTTTCACAGGCAATGTTAATTGACCCTTGAATCATGACCACACGGTCACAAAAGTTGTATCAAGGCTAAAAACCAAGCTGATTTAGTTTATTTCAAGCCGCAGATGATGACTTTTATTTGACAGTTTTCCGCTTGCTCTCGGGGCCGTTCAACTACACTTGTACTGTAAAACCGGAAAGTCTAACTGCGAAAAAGTGTAACATTTTTGTGGTTTTGGCATAACATGTAGACATTTTAACGATGGCTACCTTGCCGCCTGGACCCACCTGTATCCGCATCTTTACACAGACATCTCAAACTGGGTTCGCAATAACGTTTCTTGAACTTTCTTCAAATAAAGAAAAGAAATGGTCGTTAAAACGTTAGACTTAAAATTAATAATAATGATGATCCAGGGAGTCGTGGACAATAGGGCTTGAAAGTGATGACGTCAAAACGGCCAGGGAGTAGTAAGTTGACATCAGATTTCTACTTTTGGATCCACTAAGGTGTGACTTTGCTATTGCCTAAGTATGTGGGTACATAGCAACCCACTCATGTCGCATGCAGGTGTGACTTTTATTTCGCCACCAGTTGTAACCCCGCCCCCAGTAGCCAAATCAGTCAGTTTCACTGGTTACATCACCTTGCTGAGAGTAAGACGGCTTGAAATGTGCTTGGATCCATACAAAAACTGGATCCAAGTGGATCCAATTTTTGAATTTTTGAAATTGTTGCTATGCTGTGACGTAGCACTTTCAAGCCCTATGGCAATGCAATGGTGCATGGATATTGATTTACACTGATTTACGACTCCCTGAACTGGCTGAAGAAATCAGTCGCGGCCAAGGGGACCGCGTACCGTGCACCGCGCGTACCGCGTACCGTAGCATTCGCTCTTTTCATTCTTTTTCTTCATATTTTAAATCAAACTGACGTCGAATATTCGAATGTCCATGTTCACCGCATTGGCGAGCAAAACATGTCTGGAAAATGCCATTCATTTGACATTTCTCCCCTTTGACGGCTTTGTGACTTTAGTTTAGCCAGCTTTCCCAGGCCGCATTTTCTAGTCTTAGGAATATCTGTGTGATAGGTTATCTCACGTGCATATCACAGAATTCTCTTTTACTGAGCTGAGGTAGTTCAACATTTTATTTTTGAGGCGCGAGAGTTTTGGAGAATCTGAATTTTTTATATTCTCAATCAGTCAAATCTCCCTCACTGCCTTTCAGCCTGGCTTCCTATGTTCAGCTAGTCAAAAATCTAGTTCCTCGGCGCCTGGTTTTGGCTAGTGTAACAGCTATGGTGGTGGTGTACGGCGTGGCTAGTTCCGACCCATACAGCTTCTTTTACGACGAGACTGGGGATAATGGCTCGACGGTCACAACAACCTGCACCAGAGCGGCGAGCTCCGGTTCTGGCGATGGTGGTAATCAGTCACTGCTCGGTTACAATGCAGAGGATGGAGGAATTCCGTCCGTACTGGCCATCAATGTCGCTGTGTGGGCAGTAAGTAGTTCATAAATAATTCGAAATTCTCTTGAATAACAAATTATAGCAAAATTCAAGAGGTAAAAACAGCACAAGTCACAGTCAATTATCGCTACCTTTCACAAGCTCCATTACGCTATTGGTTGACTATGACTTGTGCTGTTTTTATCTCTTGAATTTTGCTATAATTGTCACTCTAGGTGTAAAAACTCCCAAAATCTCTTGAATGAAATAATTATATTTTGTGCGAAAATCTTGAAAATGTGGCTTTTATACTTTATTTTTCCTAAGCGTGGGATTTGTGATGCAGATAGGGTAACAGCACTGTTAACGTTAGGCCACACGTTTTTATTTCTATGTTTCTCGTCACCCGAAAATCTAAAATCGTATGCGAGAGGTGGAAAAAATAAAAAATGACCGAAAAATAAAAAAAAGTTTACTAGACCTTTGGTCATACCAAGAGTACATAACCAAGAGTGTGCAACTCGACGATCCCCCAGCCCACGGCGGAATTTTTTATGACAGCCTTTGGCGGCGGTTGGGCTCACTGATGCCATCATGCATAGCCAGAGATCAAAGTACAAATGATTTGTACATTACAGCTACGGTAGTCGAAGCAGAACAACGAACGATAGATCGATGTGTCTTGAACCTGATGAACTCTCCCTGTATCTACAAAACAAGCACGGGAAAGCATACCCACTTCATCATACTTCTGCCAAAGAATGACGCAATAAAAAAATTCCGCCGTGGGTGAACCCATCGCAGATCAAGATAGGAATTTCAGACTCTTGGTTATGTAATCTTGGTCATACTGAAATTGACCAATGCACTGTGGAAAATAGCTTCCAGCGTTAGCAACTAGTACGTGGTAGGTGCTTCTGTGCAAGTGCAGCTAGATTGCGCAACAAAAACTGCATGCAGTGTACTACATGTACTGTGTTGCATGACTTGGTGCTGGTCCCCACATGCACAGTGCACTAATATAGTGCTAGTGCAGCACAGTTTTTTTCTTTCTTCCAGACTCCTGAATCGTATGCGTGCGGGTGACGAGAAACATAGAAAAAAAACGTGTAGCCTTAGGGTTCTAGGAATAATCTGAGAATCTGCGAAGAAAAAATTGGAGAAGCATTCTTGTAGACCCTTTGCATGTGGACATTCTGCGTGGCTGCCGTCAAGGGACCCAATAATTATTTTCAGTGTAGAAAAGGCAGAGAACAATTTGTATGTGGTGTGCAGGGTTCTAGCCGGGTAGTGTGTGTGTGTGGGGGGGGGGGGGGGGGAGGAAACAGTTACATGTCGGACACAACAGTGTCCCACCACTGCTGCTGGGGGTCCATGACATGGCCGAGTATTCTCCAGTTTGCCGATGAGGGGACAACACACTTTGGCATGTGGGATTCACGGTGGAAATTAGCCTGGCCAGGTTTAGACCGGGTTTGGATTATTGATAAGATAGTAAGAAATATGTCGATCAGAAGTGTCACGTATTTCTTATTTTACATCACAAATTTGGTTACAAATTTTTAAAATAAAGTATTAGTGGTATGTCGATCCAGCTTGTTCTATTGATTGCACTTGAGAAGCGTCTGTGATCTTGCTTAAAGTTTATTGCAGTATAAAAGGTACGAAACTTTTGCGCTTGCCTTGGAGAAGAGGAAAGCAGAACTTTGCACGTTTCGTTGAACACCGAGACATGGACAGACCCGACGGACGTAGATAACGATTGATCCGGCCATGCGTAACGTGATCATGGTACACGCTTCTTCTCGTGTTTCTTGAAGATCATTGTGGCTTCTTTCCAATTCGAAAAGCCCTTGAAGAAGAATGCTGGATCACCACGTGTGGACAGCACTTTCTTTGACTGTACAGCCATCACGCAAGTGTGGCAGAACACAGCATGCCGTTAATGTGTGCCCTAATGTCATTCACATCCATGGTAGCAGGCGTAGCGAATGCGGAGGGTGTGAGGAGTGATGTCCACTGGCTGATAGCACCCTCCACGACTTTCCTCACCTCCAACACCTCGCCGCCATCCAGAGACTTGCTGTCTGCCTTGAGAAATTGGCTATTGCACGATTCCACCACGGACGATACGATCGTGTGGAAGAGTGCTGTCCACAGCCTTCCAAGGTACTTTCCGTAGTTTCCAGGCTTCTTAATGCGGTGAAAATATTTGGATAGTTGAGTAGCACTAATTTGTTCGCTCGACTGGAGGAACTGAATGGCGACCTCGTGTGGAAGAGTGCTGTCCGCAGCCTTCCAAGGTACTTTCCATAGTTTCCAGGCTTCTTAATGCGGTGAAAATATTTGGATAGTTGAGTAGCACTAATTTGTTCGCTTGACTGGAGGAACTGATTGGCGACCTTAACAGCAGAGGAGTATAGCTTGCTGGGTGGAAGCCGTGCTCTATAGGGTTCCTGACTGTCACTGTAGAGCAGGACCACGTAGACGATAATCTCGCGTAGCTTTAGGTCAGCGTCTTGAATTGCCTTCCAGCGTGCCATGCCGTTGATGTGCGCCGCAATGCCATTCAAGTCCATGGTAGCAGGTGTAGCTGTTGCAGAGCGTGTTGGGGATGATGTCCACTGGCTAGTAGCACCCTGAACGACTTTCCTCACCTCCAACACCTCGCCGCCATCCAGAGACTTGCTGTCTGCCTTGAGAAATTGGCTATTGCATGATTCCACCACGGACGATACGATCGGCGTCTTGCCGAAGGCTAGCAACAACTCTCGCTTGGCGTCGTCATAGCGACGGCAACCTTTGCATGACTTCTCGAGTCGGGTCCCAACCACTTCCACTTTCAATCTGATGAGCCACTCATCCTTTGGAAACTCATTTTGCATGGCCACGTCGTCGAACAACTCGAGGTACGTGGTGATGGACTGCCGATTGTCATACTTCGGCATCTTAATTGTCACCCGCTTAGTCACATGACTTCTACTACTACCAGTAGTACTAGTACTCATCTGCTCTCAGCTCCGCGCGATGCAGACTCGGCCTCTCGTTTTGCCCAGGCCAACTTCTCCTCGTATTCCTTGCCCAACTCTTCCCGCAGCTGGGCCAAGGACCGTTGTTCCGCTCGTTCATTTCGATCCCGCACTTCCGCCAAACAAGCATCGACGTACTCTCTCAGGTCATTCTCTTTGTAACGGTACGCAGTTCCGTTGTGGATAAAAGTGGCCTAATTCTACTGATGCCATCCTGGCGTGGTCGCCAAAAATGTGGCCAACAAGGCTCTTCAGTGTGACTTCCCACGAGGTTCTTTCAACAGTTAGGAGACAGCGTTTAGGAGACTTTCGTCCAACGATCACTTGATGGAAAGACAAAGAGATCAAAGAGAAATGACAAGAAAAAGCTTCCGTAGAACAGATTTGGATACGTGATGTCAAACGAAAACGCTAGGGTCAAGAGTACAAATCCGACACCGCGTCTATCAGACATTTTTTAAATATTTTTTTTACCGTCTCTGAAAGCCTCTTCTACAGGCAAAATAAACATGAATTCTTGAGGTAAAGGAAATTACTACCGGTATACTTACATTGTATAAGTCATGCTCAACTGAAGATCACGTCAAGAACGTGGAGAACTACAGTCACATGAATGTGCCATGCAGGATGTCCAAGGTTAGCCAGGCAAGCAGCACTCTGAGACCATCAGCGATGCGGAGCCCGTCGACGCTACAGTGTGAGGGCGACCGCGGTGGCCTCTGAGGCACGCAATGGCCGAGCGAATCAGCGCAAAGCCAAGCCGACACCTGATATACGCCATCATGCCATAATACAGCTCCTTCCGCTTCTCGCAAAGCATAGTGGCGAGGCGCTTGTAAAGAGCACTAGCGGCCTTTGCCTGCCCTCTAGTGGCGCTGAACACGAGTGGTACAAACACCGCATGTTTGACCTCCCGCACACACTCCTCGTAGTGTCGGCGCTTCTTACCTTCATGCTTGGCATATGTAGCGGGGAGGGAGTGAGTCGGTTTTGAGCTAGCCAAAGGGTTGAACACCCGAACATCAAAGTAGATTCACTACACTACTACAGGGTTCTAGCCAGGTCAATATAGTAGGGGGGGGGGGGGGGGGGCATGGGAAAAAGTTACCCCATGACCCATTTTTTTCCATTGTCCAAGATTGTCTTGCCATGCAAAATGCAACATACAGGGTGAACCCCGACTTCACCCCTCACAAATGTGCCTTTATGAACCCTCTAGTAGTGACTATCGACTGTATTTTCGTTGAATGGCGTGAAAAAAACACAAAAATCGGAAAATGAGTAGGGGGGCGGCATTTTTTCACAGGGGGGGGGGGGGGGGGGGGGCGCTGCGCCCCCCTACCCCCCTTTGGCTAGAACCCTGCTACTATGTCATTAGTACGCGACTGCACAGTCAGCGTAACTATAGAAAATATGATGACTGGTCTGCAAGCAACGACCATGTGCAGACCAAAATCAAACGAACAGAAATATTCAAAATACAGTTGTGAAAGGAAGAAGAAAAAGTATGAAGCTGAAGGGTTACACCTGCCAGAGGGTGTTAGTACCCGACGCTGGGTGACAGAAAACCCTGTCAGGTACTTGCAGTGGTAAATAAGTTCAATACTTCTGCAGCGGAACTTCAATCGCAGCGAAAATTTGGGGTGTAGGTCTTCTCGACTCATTTGTCTATTATAAAAAATTAATACCGGGAAAATGCTGTAAAAAGAGTTCAGCATGCAATGATATGTAAGGCTTCTGTACTTTTAAAAAGTTCCGCGACAAAAGTTGTGGTACTCAAATGTGGGCATTGTGAAATAGGTGCCTGTCATCATGGTCCTGATCTGTTCACGTTACTTGCACGTTGCGTGTTGACTCAACGCGTGTTCTCTGCTGTGTCCACAGGTAATGATCATAGCGTTTTGCTTTGTCCGCCGCTGGGCCTGGAACTACGGTCGCATTGGTATTCTGCAGAAGCAAGTGTAAGGACGCTTGGCAAATTTCACTCGTCAATGCTTAGTTGTGGCAGGTGATCGTATTGATTGCTATGAGCCAGAACCGATGTAGTGTTTTAATGCAGGCTACTTGCTTGGGCAGCACTCGTCAAGTCTGATATCATCATGTTGTGCATACGTGTACCAAATCTTACGAGCAGCCCCTGTGCTTTGCACACATCTGTTTAAAGAAATGTGTGCATGTGCTCTCTGCGTGATCAGTACAGTCAACTTCGCTAATAACGACTGCGGATATAACGACAATTCGCGAATAACGACAGAATTTTCATGCCCAGAGCAAAGTCCCATCTAACTGTAACACATATAATGAGACTTCGGGTATAACGACACTTCGCGAATAAGGACACTTTTCTGATGCCCTGCCAGGTGTCGTTATAACTTATAAACCAAGTTGACTGTACATGATGTATTGCAAGAGTCAGTTACTGCGTATCCCCTACACTGTTACCAGTTACTGCGTATCCCCTACACTGTTACCAGTTACTGCGTATCCCCTACACTGTTACCAGACCCGTCTTGTGTGTGAGTCATGTATATAGAACCATCTTGTAGACCTACACTCAGTGTTTGTGTGGGTGTGGGTGTGGGTGTGTGTGTGTGTGCGTGTGCGTGTGTGTGTGTGCGTGCGTGCGTGCTTGCATGTGTGCAGTACGTGTACTCATGCATACACACCATCCATTGTTTGTCACCAGCTTGTGGCAGTACGTGCACAGGCTTGCATAAGCAGAATCAGGAGGCCACGAGATAAAATACTTCCGAAAGAGTGAACTGTACCTGTATTGTATCAGCATGTTTCAGCTCCTTTCTTGTGTTTTGTTCACATACAGCGGAGCATTGTCTATTCACCGGCCGATAATTAAGGGTAAAGATGAAGATGATGATCTATTAGACGATGGAGCTAAAGATGCTGAGGACCAGATGCTTGAGGGCACTGTGAGTGATGTCGCCTTTGAGGACGCCATTAATTTTTATGCAAGATGTCTGATTTCGAAACGGAGCTTAGCAGTGTGTGCGTCTTTGAAAATCAAAATTTGCAAGTCACTGCAGTCACTAATTCAAGAGCATATACATGTACGTCGAAGTAACTGTTACACGTGCAGCGATGAGATCCAACCCCCATCCCAGCATAGGGGATAATGCACCATGC